CCTGTGCTCCAGCTCCTGCCTCCAGGTTCCTGCCCTGAGTTCCTACCTTGGGCTCCCTGATGAACTGTGACCTGGGATATGTAAGATAAATAAACCCTTTCCTCCCCAAGTTGGTATTGGTCAGAGTGTTTTGTCACAGCAATGAAGAAGAAAACCAGGACGGTGGGGCTGGCTATAGATGCTTGGTCTGGCCTAGGGCCGATGGAGAGAGTCACCCACTTCCTTGACCACGTTTTCACCTTTCTCCTTAGCTGAGTAAATAATCTCTGTGACCAGAAGAGAAATGTACTCTGGGGAGACAGCTGTTCACGCTTCAGTTAAGCTTAGTCTTTTTTTTTTTTTTTTTGAATCTTTTTGAGACAGGGTCTCCTTGTGGCTCCAGCTGACCTGGAACTTGCTATGTAGACCAGGCTGGCCTTGGATTAAAGCTGTGTGCTGCCACATCTAGCTTAAACTTAGTCTTTAACTTGTGTTGTTTTATATATACATCTACCAACTGATGTTTATGGCCTCCAATGCTCCTGGGACCACCAAAAACTGAGCACGTGCTTCTAGCATATACCCAGGTCCAAATATTTTAAACATTAATAGAAGAATAATAAGTCCACAGTCCAACATGAGGCTTTCAGTCATCCTGCGTGGTCCTCACCTGCAAGTACTCCTGGCTGCTCAGTTAGGAAAGTGGCTGGGGAGGTTCCTATCCCTGGAGACCTGCCTCCTTGACAGTCTAAGGTCAAGGAACCAGCTATACCTCTCTATTGTCTGCAATTTTTACCCCTGTGGCGAACTGCTAGTCAGGCCCTAAGGCTCACCAGCTAAATCTGGTACTCTATTAACTTTTTTTCTATGGACTCTTTCTAGATGCAAATCTATCCACATTTGTCTTCAAGTGATGGAAAGAGGCCCCTTTGACTTTTTCTCTTTTTTGTCTGTTTTAACTTGCTTTAGCACCTTACAAGCCCAGTTCACATGTCAATCCAAGTCATGCTGATCTTCTAAAGTCTCTTTTCCTTTACAAAGATCATGTCCTACCATGGGACTCACTAAAGTCATTAAAGCACTATCTCAGTCCTGGGGTCCCTGATAAATCAACCTCTTTTGCAACTCTTGCATGAACAGAGTCTCACCTGGCCTGGCAAACTGGGCATCAAACACTGCTTTTCTTATCTGTTGTGGGGGTTTTTTATCACTTTTTTTTTTCAGTTTTCCCCCTCTTTATCTACTATTTATCCATAGGTTACCTTCTGAGCCTCACTGGCCCTAATTTCTTGATGTTGACACAGTGAAATTGATTTCAGACTCCTGGCCTCCAGAACTGTAGGAAAACCAATGTGTGTTGTTTTAAGTCACCAAGTTTGTAGAAGTGTGTTACAGAAGCCATGGAAATTAATATAAAGGTCATGAAAAACAATTTGAAGATTCACAGTAAATATAACTAAAAAAGAAACAATGAACATTAACATCATAGCAATAGACACATTAAGTTAAAGGAGAGATAAAGATGCATTCTATAGTCAAGTGACATGCATAATCTAAGCAAGACAGTGAGACAGGAAACAGAATGATAGCAATAAGAAAAGAAGGGGAGATGGGGCTGGAGGGATGGCTCAGTGGTTAAGAACACTGACTGTTCTTGTAGAAGACCTGGGTTCATATCCCAGCACCCACATGGCAGCTAAGAACTGTCCTTAACTCCAGTTCCAGGGGATCCAATACCCTCTTTTGTCCTCCATGGGCATTGCATGGCATGGGTGCACTTACACACGTACAGGCCTAACAGTCATACACATAAAATAAAAATAAATGAAAAACAAAAGTAATTTAAAAAAAGAAGAAGAGAAGGGAAGAGGTCAATATGAGATGTGCGTATCATTTCCTGGCTCCTCACCCTGCTTAACCTTTAGGTTGGCTCCTCAACCTTTATCCTCCACTGTAAAGTCAACTTTTAGTTTCTTTGAATTTTTCATACTGTACTTTTTTTTTTTTTTTGTCTTTTAGCAACAGGGTCTCCCTGTAGTCCTAGCTGGCCTGGAATTTGCTATGCAGACCAGGCTGGCCTTGAGCTCACTGAGATCCACCTGCCTCTACCTCCCAAGTGCTGGGATTAAATGCATGTGCCACCATGCCTGGCTCATACTGTACTCTTAAAAGCAAGTCACCAGGATGGGTGAGGGTTCTAGAAATGTCAAGGAGTAATAACCATTTATTTATTTATTTATTTGCTCAGGTATCGTTTATACTAGTATGGATTCATGGATGTTTATATTATGCTTTGGGTTGTAATCTAAGGCTAATTTTTAGATTTTTTTGTTCAAATTACTTCAACTTTAACCCTTAGGAATTCTGTCAGGCAAATCCAATTACTTCTTACTATGACTTTCTCTACACTCTCTTCCACATGTATGTGGAAATCAGTAATCAAACTTGGGTATCATTCACCGTAGTTTTTGAGACAGAGTCTCTCAATGGGATCTGTGGCTTGTAGATTCAGCTTGAGTGCCTGGCCAGTGAGCTACAGGGATCCTCTTGCCAACACTAGAATTACAAGTCTGGCTTTTTATGTGGTTGCTGGGGATCGAATTGAGGTTCTCAATCCATGCTTACATGGCAAGCACTTTGCTGACTAAGCCTTCTTTCCAGCCCCTAGTTTTAAGGAATTATTAATAAAAGTGATGTGGGCGATGGAGAGACGGCTCAGCAGCTTAGAGCACATACTGCCCTCGCAGAAGACCCAGGTTTGGCTCCCAGCACCCATACTGCGTGTCTCATAATGGCCTGTAACTCCAGTTCTAGGGTATCTGATGCCATCTTCTGGCCTCCCTGGCACCTGCATACATGTGGTGCACATAAATTCACACAGGCACACACATGTGTTTTATTTATGCTTATCATAAAAATAAGCAAATCTAAAACTTAAAGAAATCAAGCTGATATAAAAGTCACATGTAAGTTTTTTTTTTAGATAGAGTAGATAGGTAGATGTGTGATTGTATGTTTCACGGTGAGTCTATATTTAGCTTTAGAAAAACTGGCAGACTAGCTGAGTGTGCTTCATATGACTGTCATCCTAGACTCAGAAAGCTGAGGCAAGAGGGTGTCAAGTTTGAGCCCACTCTGGGCTCACAATGAGATCGAGAGAGGGGTGGGGGAGGAAGAGAGAGAACACAAAAGAGGGAGGGAGGAGGGAGAAAAGGCAACTGCCAAGCTAGCTTCCAGTGCTGTGTCTTTTACATTCCCACAAGAAATGTTCTCTGAGGCTCTACGTCTCCCAGCACTTGTGTTCCTTGACAATTTTTATTTCTGCTTAAAATTTTAAAAAAAGATTTATGTATAAGTGTTTTGCCTGTGTGTATGTACACCATGTGTGTGCCTGGTGCCTGCATAGGCCAGGGGCATTAGATCCCCTGGAACTGGAGTCAGAGATGGTTGTTCTTTCTATGTCAAAGTAAAGATCTACTGACTTGGTTTTTTAAAAATTCTTTTTTATTTATTTTTTTTTATTTTATGTGTATGAATGTATTCCTTGCGTGTATGTAAGTGCACCCATGATATACAATGCCTGTAGAGGTCAGAAGAGGGTATCAGATTCCCCTGGAACTGGAGTTATGGATGGTTGTTAGCAGCCATGTGGGTGCTGGGAACCATACCTGGGTCCTCTAGAACAGGAGCCAGTGCTCTTAACTGCTGAGCCGTTTCTTCAGCACCCCCCATTGGCTTGTTTTTTAAAAACATTTATTTTAAAAGTAACTTACTAAATCATAGGAAGTTGTAAAATTGTATGCCAGTCTTACTTTTCATTCTTTCCTTCCCCCAGTGGAAACATTTTACTAAACTTTACTATAAAATCAAAAAAATGTATTGATAATCAGCCTACAGGCCTTATTTTTTCAGATTTCATCAGTTTTAATGTGAGCTGGATTTGTTAAGGTCAGGATTTTTTTTTTTTTTTTAGTTTCAGTTTATGTGTAGGAATGTATTACCTGCATGCATGTAAGTGCATCCATGTCATGCAATGCCAGGAGCGGCCAGAAGAGGGCGGTGGATCCCCTGGAACTGGAGTTACAAATGGTTGTTAGCTGCCATGCGGGTGCTGGGAATTGAACCTAGTTCTTCTGCAGGAGCAACCAGTGCTCTTAACCACTGAGGCATGTCTCCAGCCCCAAGCTCAGGATTTTTAATAATACGGTTCACAAAATAGTGCAAGGCAATGTGAGAGCATCGAATCCCATAGACCACTAGGGAGCGTCAGAACAAGGCAATGTGAAGCAAATGACTACACCGTTGTTAACCTCAGCAATTGCTTTCTTTCTTGAGAACTGGTTCTTACCTGTTTATAATTTGGGGCCCAAATTCTCAATTTTTCCTTGACTTAAAATAATGACATATAATTCTCTTTATAACGTGCAACAGCACTAATATATACTCACAACAGGAAGATTCAGACAGCTTGTCTTCTTTCTTTATGATTTATTTTTAGCTGTGCAGTCTGTGTTCTTAACCTCTGAGTCATCTCTCCAGCCCCATTAAATTCAAAAATTTTTAATTAAAAAGCAAAATGTAATTTAAAAAAAGATAGTGAGGTAGATAGAGCTTAGTGTTCAGATTTTTCCCACTCTCACGAATTGTATTTGTGCTGCTTTTGCCTTTGGCCCCCACTCCTTTTCAGTGGAAATAGCCCTTTTGTCAACAAACTGAAGTTCTCTTGGGGTTTTAATGTGGTTTTGCCTTATTGCTCCAAGAAGAGTACATGTTTCAGGATGACCAGTCAGAAGTCCCCACATCACTAGATTCACTCACGACAGAAGTCGGGCCAATCAGGAGTATCATTTTCTGTGGTGAAAAAGGTGGGGGAGGATGGCACGCTGGGAACACTGTGATCCTAAAATACAAGGATATAAAAGTGGCAGAGACTCACAGACAGCCTTCACCAGAGCAAAGCTGGTTGATAAAGAGTGGCCTGGAGGAGAGACAGGCGGCTAGGTAAGACTTTTCATCTGTTCCTGCTGCTGTGCCTCTGGACTTTCCTCTTGTGTGACTCAAGGGGTTCCTCTGGTGTTGTAGGTGATGTGTTGAGGGTTTCTCTCCCTCTTAGTCAGACACGCTAACACTGTGGTGTTATATCACATCACAAAATACTACATGTCTCTAAAATATTGCTGTCATGCCTTTCATTATAGCTTCCATTTAGAAGTTTAGGTAGTAAAAGTTTCTTATGACTTTTTAAACTTTTTAGTTGTCAATCAACTTTTCCCCCTCAAAACTAGTCTAATAATTTCTTTCTAAACAGAAACTCAGGATTCCTAACTTATGTTCTCACCAGCACTGTTTGCAACCACTCACAGACATTCTGTTTGTATTATAAACTGTTTATAAACGCCTTCCTCAGCGTGTCCTCAGCAGGTAGAGAGGGCAGGCTTTAGGGACCCAGATTCCGCTGCTCTTGTGTGTGCTCACCTTGTCCATTCCAGCTCAAGAGGCTGCAGGGGCTCTGAGTTCCCAGGGTGAGATTGTAAACTGAGCTCTCAGACTGTCTCAGTGGGACATGGAATGCGATGGATGAACGGGTTATGAACATGCTCGCGAGACCGACCGATCTACATCATCGGTTCAGAGGTCTTCTCTTCTGCCTGCTGTACTGCTGAGCTCAGCTTTCCTATTTCTTCACCTCCCGGTGTGTTTCCCAAACCTCCATCTTTCTCTACATGCTTGACCTTTCCTAATTCACAAGATTGGAATCGACACCTGCAATCAGTCACGGTTCTTGCCACACCTCCATCACATAGGCCAGAATTTCTAGGCCACTCTTTATCAACCAGCTTTGCTCTGGTGAAGGCTGTCTGTCTCTGCCACTTTTATATTCTCGTATTGACAGTTACCATTCAGGTGTGAGGAGATGCTAATAATAGTAAAAATTAAACAGAATTTCATTCTCTAGTTGTTTGGATGAAGATAATGTGTAAAAAATCCTTGGTATAGCTCCACGTTATCATTTTAAAATTTAGTTATCTTCAATAGTGTCCTTACAAACTGTCCAATTCATTCTCTCTTCCTAGTTCCAGAATGATTTCCTCTCACTGAAGATCAGTAGTACCTCTAGCGTCAAGTTCTAAGCACTGCAATCCAAACGCAGGTTCTCTGAAGAACAGTAACACAGGGTTTAAATAAGGTAAGCACACCACAGGCAAAGTCAGGCCTTAAAGTTTGTTCCCTAGTAGAGCTAAGGTTACTGCCGTCCACTGAGAGAACAGCCTCCTTGAAGAATTATGGGAACAGTCAGATTTGAGATAGGAGTACACAGTGATAAATAGGCCCAGAAGCCGTCTGTGAAAGATGATCCTCTGCACTAAAGACTAGAGTATACCTTGCTTATTTTAGCAAGTGGGAAGAATTTCTGGATATATGTTCAGGTTATTATAGAAAGTCTTGCCCGGTGTGGTGGTGCATGCCTTTAATCCCAGCACTCGGGAGGCAGAGGCAGGCGGATCTCTGTGAGTTTGAAGCCAGCCTGGTCTACATAGTGAGTTCCAGGTCAGTTGGGGCTACAGGGAGACCCTGTCTCAAAAAAATAAAACAACACAAAAAGAATGCCTTTTAAACATTCTTTGTCAGGAACTGGGGCGATGGCTCAGTGGTTAAGAACACTGACTATTCTTACAGAGGACCCACATAGTGGCTAACAACCATCTGAAACTCCAGATCAGGCACCCTCTTCTAGCCTCTGCATGTAGTACACTTACATTCATACAAGCAAAGCATTCATACTCATAAAAAAATAAAATTCTAAAAATTATTTATCGTAATTAACCAGACAGCCTAATGATATGAATTATCACTACGGACATAGTGTTTTCTTTTAAAATTAGTCTTGTACTCTATAGCATCATCTTAACATCAACATTTACAAACTTGTCAAATACTATATTGGAGAAATAGTAGGCAGAGTACTGTGGGGTAAGAAGGCATACAGAGAAACAGAAGTGATGCAATAACAGTGAAATATCTACTGATGAGGTCACCATAGCCACAGATAGCAACACAAACTGGAATGAATTTAGGGAGGTAAAAACCCAATCAAAACAGAAACCATGAAGCCTACCTTAGGGGAAGACATCAACGAAAAAGGTAGATGAGAAAGTGAAGCATCTTAGCAGAAGACTTACACTGAGTGAAAGACTACATAGCAGAGGCCTTGAAATGGACAAACAAGATGAATGCATGCCAGCACACAGAGGCAGGTGGATCTCTGGGAGACCGAGGCCAGCCTGGTCTACACAGTGAGGTCCTGGCTAGCTGGGGCTATGGGAAACCCTGTCTCAAAAACCAAAAAAAGTGGACAAAAGCTTGAAGCGGGATAAAGTGGGTGTGGGAGCTGCTCAGCCCATGTCTGCTGGGCCTCTATAGACCTTGCTTGACCCCTGAAAAGGGTTTCAGGGCATCTGTGGCCAGATGTGAGCAAGAGGAGAAGAAAAGTCTTAGGTCGAAGACGTTTCTGATCACCGCAGGATCAACAAGGGGAGACTGGACTGCCTGAGGCACTTTTCTGTGCAATTTAATTTCTAAGAATGGATGAGATATACGTAGACACATCTAGACAGGAGTGTATGAGCCTCTCCTCCGTGGGACCTTCCCTTCTCTCACTATGACCGCCATCTGCTACCTTTCTTCTGTCCTTTCATCTGTGCTGCTCTTGATTCTCTCCTCCCCTTCCCTTCCTCCTACCTCCCCTCATCTCATTCTGCTCTCTTTCTCTAGCTATCTCTCTCCTTTCTTTCACATTCCCCTCCCTTATCTGCTGTCCTCAGGACTAACACAGACCTGGTAAGTTTTTTTTTTAGAGTATTATTAGAGAGATACTTAAATAAATTCTGAAATCACAACTATAACAGTTTTCAAAAGGGGGGTATGGAGAGTTGGCTCAGCGGTTAAGAGTACTGACTGCTCTTGTAGAGGACCTAGGTTTGAGTCCCAGAACCCACATGGTGGCTAACAGCCATCCATAACTCCAGGTCCTGGGGCTCTGACCTCCATGGGCATTGCACAACATGGGTGCACTTACATACCTGCAGGCAATACACTCATACATAAACTAAAGTAAAACAAAAAGGAAAAAATAAAACAGTTTTCAAATGAGCCACATACTGTGAGGGCAGAACGGGAGTGGCTGATGGGAACGGGCTCTACACGGAACAGAAACATTTTGCCACAATAGAATATCTCTCCTTACTGCCTTTGACTCCGCAGAGAAACGATGAGGACTCCGGTCACCAAGGACTGGCTGCCCCTGCTGCTGCTGCTACTGTGTCTGCTGCCACTGAAGCTTTATGGGGATTACTGGGATGAATATAATGATGAACTAACACCAGAATTCAATTCACATTTGGAAGAAATGTATGGCACGGGGCCTACCAAACAACCTACCATAGAAAAAATCATACGGTGGATCATTGCTGATGTCGACAGACCTCTTGGTGGTGATGATTATTGTGAAAGTGAAATATTGTTTAAAAGTATTCACTATAAGCTCAATTGTTATGCACAGCATTACTTTGTAGCAGTACCATACAAAGAGTTGCAAAAGGCATGTCACGGTGAACGAGTACCATGTAATAATAGACGTGGAATTTGTAGGAAAAGCACAAATTTAGTAGAAGGGGTGCGATGTGTTTTAACATCAGGAAAGACACTGCCGGATTGTAAATATAACAGTTTCTTCCTGACAGCATATCCTGTTGTCACTTGTCGGTGGCACAGTGAAAACCAAACATTTGTTCCCGAGACTGTAAATAATCTGTTACTACCCAGATAGCAGGAAAGCATTCTAGTAGTTTTCTCTAAGCAATCACACTGGGAGACTCTCACCTTAAGAGACTGTTGCTTCAGTCAAAAGTGAGAACAGTAATTTCAGTCCTTTCACTTTGATCTGTCACCTTCTTCTTTTCCCACCTCCAAAGCACTGAATGGCAACCTGGCTAGGTTCACAGACAGTGCTCTAACACATGGTTTCATGGAGGTCACACAATTCAATACATTTAAATGTGTCAGGACAAGCAAAGCCTGCAGCAAAAAAGAAGCTAGGTGTGCTGGTCAAGCCCATAATCTCAGCTGGAGAGATGGCTCAGCAGTTGAGAGCACTGGCTGCTCTTGCAGAGGACCCAGGTTCGATTCCCCGTACCCACATGGTAGCTAACAACCATTGTAACTCCAGCTCCAGGGAATCCGACGCCCTCTTCTGACCTCCACAGGCACTGCACAACATAACATGGGTGCACTTACACACATGCAGGCCATACACTCATCAAATAAAAATAATAATAAAAAACCTCGAGTCTACCCTGGGCTACCAGGAAGGACCCCAGCATAAGTAAATAAGCAAGCAAATAAATACTTGGAATAGTTGCCTGAAGGATGCCTCAAAGTTTTCATGTGATTCTCTAGATCAGCAGAAAAAATAAAGTGCTTCCAATCTGGATCTGATGTTCATGGGGTTTCTAGGTTGGGGCCTATCTCCCTTGTGATGAGTTTATACAAACAGAACTTAAAATCTTTTGAGATTTTTATGTAAAATGTCTTTTCAGAGTTATGTTTGTCTGTATTTCACTTTTCCTGTTCTTTGCATGCAATAGAGTACGGTACTATGAAGGAGGAAATCCAAGCAGGGGGCATCTTAGGATAAAGCCTGTTCAGTAGGAAAGCAAGCTCCACAAAGTGCTTCCCAACTGTCCAGTGTATCAGAGTGAAGTCCCACACATTGCTTATGCTCTGACAGCAATCTCCACAAAACTGAAACCAGTTCCTCACCCTCTGGCATATTCACAGTCACGTACTTTTATTTTCTAGCAGCTGTGGCTCCATCTGAGATGTTCTACTTTGGGAAAAGACTGGAGACTGAGTGTAGAAAAAGCAATGTCTACCCACTATGAGTGACAATTTTCTCCTTTTTTTTCAAACTTCTTGTGCCTTTTCAACATCACTGTTAATTAAAAATTTCTGAAAATGTGATAAAAATTAGTAGTGGGGGGAGGGGGCATATGAGCATCTTGGCACATTTCACCTCAATTCAGTCTGCTAGACTCCTCCACTGTTCCTTACCACTGTGTTCAGAGTCAGAGTTAAGCTCCTAACTTACCAATCAGTTGATATAAGTTAAGTCCTGGGCCAGAGTCTGTCAATCCCCTTCCATTACCCACAGATAGGGATATAAGACAACCATGCTTCCAGACACCTGTCTTTGCTGGGAGGCCCGTGGCTTTTAACTGTGATGTTGAATGAATAAAGGTCCTCATGAGCTATTTTGAGCCTCCACGACACCCTCTACAGTACAACCTCTACAGTAAACGGCAGAAATTCTACACATGGCTGAGTTGGTATGCACTATGAACCATCTCACTCGGGCTATGTTCACATCATGGATCTTTGAATTACATGAAGTTCAACATATGTATAGGAGTATGATGTAGTGTCACAGCAGAGGTGCCAAGAGCTGTGCATCTCCCTCTCTAGACTTCCCAGTCTTGTCTCTTAGAAATACAATCAGGGAAACAAAACAAGGGTGGTTTATGTGGATTGTTCTTCTTATCTTAGCGTAGGAAATTGGCCTCTATTCACTTAATTTCCTGAGAGAGCCTGCTCGAAGAGTTGATTATGATCTTCCTTCATGGATGGAATGAAGGCCACTGTAAGAAAGGCTTCAGGCAGTGTTCAGCCAGCTTGTTCCCTTGCTCTTCAGGTAAAGCCAGACACCCTCTCTAGATGCCAGGGACTTGATCTTGGACTTCCCGGCCTTTAGAATTGTGAAAAATAAATTTCTGTTCTTTATGAATTACTCAGTGCTGTTTTTAAAATCGTTTTCTTTTTTAAGAAACATTTTTCTGACATTAATGTGAACACGTGTGTGTGTGTGTGTGTGTGCATGTGTGTGTTTGTGTGTACCACAGTGTGCATGTGGAGGTCAGAGGAAGACCTGTGGAAGTTGGTTCTCTCCTTTCACCACGTGAGTCTCAGGGATCAGACTCAGATCATCAGATTTGACAGCAGACACCTTTACCCACTGAGCCATCTCGCTGGCCAGTCTGTGTGATTTCATCATTCTATTCAGTACGATTTCATAAATGTCATGTCCCAACTTCCATTAGGACTACCTCCTCAAGATTTCATTGCTTTTGATTTTTTTTTTTTTTTGGCTTTTTACATGCATACAACACGTTACTACCATTACCTTCTTTTGTCCACCTTCCATTCCTGCAGACCCTCTTCTTCATCTCAGCTAGTCCCCTTCCTATTTGCATGTCTTGTGTGTGTGTGAATCACTGAATTTAATGAGGTTGACTTGTAGGAACATGGATAGGTTATTTACTGGAGCATGGGCCACTTGCCAGTGGCTATAACCCTAAAGGAAATGACTTCCTCTGCCCCAGAAACCGTTAGCTATAAACACATTCTCAGGGAGGAGTGGGGCCTGGTGAGCCCCTCCCCCATCCATGAGGGAATGTTGAAGGGTTCAATCTTGTGTAGGTTGTATAGGGAGCCACAGCTGCTGTGCATTCATGAGTGTGACTACCATGTCATATCCAGAACACAGTGTTTCACAGGACCCCCCCATCCTCTGGCTCCTACAATCTTTCCACCTCCTGCTTCATGATGTTCCCTGTGCTGTGGACGGGGTGATACAGCTATTCTGTTTAGGGTTGAGCACTTAACTGTCACTTACTCTCAGCACACTGACCAGCTATGAGTCTCTACATTAACTGTTACCAATGCAAAAAGATTCTCTGCCCAAGACAGAGAGCAGTATTAGCCTCTAAGTAGAAACATAAACATTTAGAAGGCACTTTACAACACCTCCATTTAACAAATCATTAGCAGTAGATTCCTTCCTAGGGCCTGTGACCTCCTCAGCCACAGGTTTTGGACCAGGTTGTCAGTAACAGGTATTCCCTCCCATGAGGCAGATCTCACATCCAATCATAAAGTCGTTGGTTACCTCTCAAAAGCCATGCCACTATTACACCAGTGGGTGGACCTTGCCTTTCAAGTTCATATCGTAGCACACAGGGTCAATGGCTGAATAAAACCGTTGAGGACATTTCTCCCTCAGTATCCTGAATAGCATCTTCTAGCATTGTGAATGCTAACCAGCAAGGAGGGAGTTTACAGCTCAGTTTCAACTTGATTTCTCTGTGGCCTATATTCAAATTCTGTGGGTCTTCAGCAGTAAGGTCTTCCCATCTAGTCCCTGTGGGCAACCAAAAGCAATGACAACAGCTTGTATTGTTTTAGGAACCTCTGGAGGATTCCCCGTTTGCTCCACTGGCCTGTGCTCAGCCTGCTTTCTCATACAACCAGGACCACCTCCCCAGGAGTGGTACCCACAGGGGTTCAGCCCTGACACATCACTCAACAGTCAAGAAAATGCCTCACAGATATGCCCACAGACCAACCTGATACAAGAAGTTCTCCCCTTGAGGTTTCCTCTTCCCAGATGTGTCAAGTTGATAACTGAAGCCAATCGTGAGAAATGTGAAACGCCCACTATAGGCTCATGTGTTTGTACATGTGGTCCACACTTGGCGGTGCTGTTTGGGTAAGTTGTGGACTCTTTCATAAGTGGAGCCTCACTGGAAGAAGTCAGTCACTGATGGCAGGCTTGAGGCTTTATAGCCCAGTCCCCCTTCCTGTTCATGCTCTGTTTCATGATTGTGGATACAATGAGAGTAGCCAGCTTCCTGCTCCTGGCACCACACCCTTCCTGTCTTCTGCCATGCCTTCCCCACAATTATGGACTACATCTCTTTAGAGTTAAAAACCAAAATTTCAGCCCTTTCTCCCTTAACTTGGTTTTGTCACCATATTTGATCACAGCAATGAGGAAGTAACTAAAATAGAAAACCGATACCAAGCTATGGGGCCATTGCTGTGATAAACTTGACCATGTTTTTCTTAGACCTTTGGAAGAGGTTTGCAGGAGAAATGTGGAAGATTTTGGAACTTTTGGCTAGAAAGTCTTCATAGCCTATAAGCAGAGGTTACTGACTTATTTTTATGAAAGTTTAGAAGATGAGAAGGCAAAGAAAAATGCAGACTGAGGAGGTCTGGCTCATGAGGTTTCTGCCGAAAACAAGAACTCTGTTAGGAATTGGGCTAAAGGTTATATTCTGGCAAAGAATCTGACCACATTCCACTTGTGTCCCAGGAATTCGAATGAGGCTAAATTTTAAAATAATGGCCTAATTTATTTGGCAGAGGAAATTTCAAGGCAGAACAAATATACAGAGTAGAACAAACCCAAGAAAGAGGCTCTATGTGCTGCAGGCCGTGGAGCTGGGGGGCAGGGCTATGGAAGCCCTTTGGAACTGAGATGATTCCAAGTCCCAGATGCCACCCATGGAGCTACAGGACTTGGTTTTTGCCCTGCTGGGTTTCAGTCTTTCTTTGGTCCAATCTTTTATTGCTATGTCCTCATTCTTCCCTTTGGGAAAGTATACTCTTTGCCTTATATGTTGGAAGTATGAGTTTTTTAAGCATGGGTCACAGGTAAGAGATTTCCTTGAGGTCAGGGTCTTTGGACTGTTGAACAGTTTCGGGATGGATAAATACTATGGGGACTTTTGAAATTGAACTGAGTACATTTTGCATCAAGAGATAGCCATGAGCCTATGGGGGCAGGGGCAGAATGCTGTGGTTTTAATGTGGAATGTCTCCCACAAGCTCACATATTTGAATGTTTCATTCCCAACTGGTAGCACTGTTTAAAAAAATTACAGAACCTTTACTCTCGAGATGGAGCATGACTGGAGGAATTGGGCCACTGGGGG